GGCCACAATTCTTGTTTTAACTGGATTTTATTATGTTTAATTTTTTGTTTGTGTTGATTGTATGAAAGCATGAACATAATCAAGGTTTTTTTTTTGTTTAATTTTGAGCACAACTACCTTCTCCAAATAGTCAATTCACCTTGTGAGTGTGTGATCATTAGTATCCCCTTTTGACTCTTTTTGTCGATATTTATGTTGTTTTTGCTAAATACTTGTCTATGAGTGTTTGATTCATCTTTTTGTATAGATATTGATTCTTTTTTTTTCTTGAACCCTTAACTATGATTTATGGTTTGAATTTTTACCTTACCTTAGAAAATAGGGAGTATTCACATTATGATATGGTTGAATTCAAGTTGGGGAGAGAATTGTTTGCTTGCCCTTGTGTGTATTACTATGAGGTTGAGAAAGAAAGAGAAAACGAAAGAAAAAGAAAGAAAAAAATGAAAAAGAAAGAAAAAAGAGAAAAGTTTTGAAAAAAAAACAAAAAGAGTTCGAATAATATTGTGATAATAAGTGATGTGTGTTGGTTTGAAATTTGGAATGAAGAAGAAGTTTGATTGAAATTATTTTGCTTGAGTCTTTGTGAGTTGATCACTCCCTTAGGTTAAGGCAAATTTTTGTTTCGATTAGCTTTAGGACTTATCCCTTGTTTGTTAACCAAGCCACATTACAACCTTAAAAAGCCCTTGTGATTCTTGGCTTTGTATTTTCAATATGAGTTTTTGGATGAATGCATAATTTAGTCTATTGTTTGCAAGATTGTGGATGAGTGTCTTTTGTCCCTCACTTTTGTGTGTTCCTCATCTATCGATGAATTTTTACTAGGTGCGATTCATGATTGAGCTTGTTTTGTTTTAGAATGTTTAGTATAATTTTTGTACTTAGGATTCGTTTCTTTTACATGTTGTCATTGTAGGATTGTGGTAAGTATTTACCTTGTGCGTGTATTTTTGTTTGAACCATACATTTGTTTTTTGTTTTAAAACTTGTTGATTCATGATTCTTTGGTTGATTACTTTTGGTTCTTTAAGTTGTTTGGCCTTGTTTGTGGAGAAACAAGTTCAAGTTGGGGAGAATTTGATAAGTGAAAATAGTAGTTATTTTTGTATATACTTTTTATTGAATTTATCGACTCTTTGTTGTTAATATCATCGAATAAACCCTACTTTTGTGTAAATACATTTAGTTTATATATATTTGTGTTTTTGATTCATTTGTGTAACGTTTGATAGATTTCACTTCATTTTGTAAGTATTTGTTAAACTTTGGAGCATCGAGGAATAAGGTGTCGAAAGACGGCTCCGGATGCGCGTTTTCGGAATAAAAGACCAATTTTGAGAATTTTTTCCCAGGAGATCCCACTTAGCGCGCAAAAGGACGATAAGCGCGAGTGCGCTCAATGCATTTTGTAGCGCACTGCTTTTGTTTTGACATTTTGGCAGAAGCTTAGTTTTGGAGTCCGCTTTGCGCGGATAGCATGCTTAGTGCAGTTCAGGTCGGTTTCATGTGTAAATATCACGCAACGCGCTTACCGTAGTGAGCCAGCTTAGCGCGATCTGCTGAGATTTGTTTTATAACTTCATTTTCAGTTCATTTTTTGTTATGGTTTTGAGGAAGTTTTTGCTCCTAACTCCATCAACCTCTAATTTTGTTAGGATTAGCTTAGAGTGTGAGGGCAAGGTCCCTCTATATGTATTTTAATGATATCAAAATGGTTATTACTGACTCTCCATTTGGGTTGGTCCTATGAACAATCTGTGAAATAGTTAGAACGAAAATCTCCAGAAATATTCATTTTTTGGAAAATTCAATGTTTGCGTCGACTCAAAGATATGTGCGGTCGACTCATCATTCTTAACCAAGCTCATAATGTGTCACGTCGACCCTTCTGGTCAACTCAACCTGGGAATCAAAATATTCAACTATTGTGTCGACGCAAGCCCTGTAGCAGTCGACGCACTATACTTCAAAATGGTTTTCCTCCACCTACAAGATGTGTCACATCGACCCTTCCGGTTGACTCAATATGGGAATTAAAATATTCAAATATTGCACTGACGCAAGCCATGTAGCATTCGCCGCACTACACTTTAAGATGGCTTTCCTCCACCTGCGGGTTGTGTCGCGTCGACCCCCCTTACTGCTTGAGTCGACTGCTCACTGCTTTCAACTATTATTCTGCTATGCTTTAGGGTCTTGACTATTAGGTAACATATATATATATATATATATATATATATATATATATATATATATATATATATATATATATATATATATATATATATATATATATATATATATATATATATATATATATATATATATATATATATATATATATATATATATATATATATATATATATATATATATATATATATATATATATATATATATATATATATTCATTGAGTATCATCATTTCAATTCAACAAGAACTAGTGAAAGATACACATAGTGCTCATCATCTTCATCCTCTCTTCTCAAAAATCAACATCTACACATAATCATGGTTTTTGATTCAAGAAATGTGATGTGGTGATAACGATCATATCAAGGATTCAATTCAGATTTGGGTTGAGAAATTGTGGGCTGTTCTTGATTAAAATCGTTTGGATTTTCTCCTCCAAGATTCCAATTGATGCAGGGGTTTTTGCACAAGTCTCTGTTTCATTGAATACAGCCAAGTGAAAGGATTAAGAAACGATGGGTTTTATTAATCAAGTAGCGGTAACCGGAGGTTTGTGAAGATAGATTTGGGGTAAAATTGCGTGTGATTTAAATCATCCGAGTGAAATGATTAAGAAATAGTGGGTTTGCTTAATCAAGTAGCGGTAACCAGAGGTTTGTTCCTAGAATTTGGCACTTGGTTTGGCTTAAACCAAGGAAAGGGAAGAAGACTGTTACATCAGCAACATTGGTTTGTTTGTATTGTGAACTATCTCTTCTCTTGTAACATTTGCAACTTAATATCAAATATCTCAATTCTAGATTCTACAATTGGGGGCAGGCGTACCCTACGCGAGGACGACAAGGGGAACTGCCTTAACAAATCATGCGTTCTTCTTCTTTTTCTTTATTTCCTTACTTGATTACTATAATTTATGGAAATTAACTTTTTAAATTTGCTTGTACTGAAATTATGTTGTGTTGAAATCATTTCACAACATTGGTAACTATCCATTTGATTGATACCTAAGAAAATTCACCACTACAATTTAGTAAAATCAACCCTAAGGTATTTTGAACATAAGGTGTTTGACAAATTGACTCATCCATAAATTATTCATTATGTTTAGCTTTATCTTAATCAACTTATTGAAAATAATTCATACTCATTGAGGGTGTATAAGTGATTGACCAATTGAGTAAAAAGTATTGATTCTTACTTTGTCACCTTATCTCATACGGTTACGCATATCCGATCTTTTCAAAAGAGGTTCGTTTAGACGATTGTAGATTCCGGAAGCTTTCACATATATTTCAGGAAAAAAGTTTAAAAAGCGCAAGTTATTTTAAACGATCTATTCAACCCCCCTTCTAGATCGATCACATCGTCTAACAAGTGGTATCAGAGCGTCGATTTATCTGGTTCTTCCCATATTACTTTGTAGAATATGGATAACGATCCAAAAGGGGCTTATACGAGAGCTCCTGTTTTCACCGGTGAAAACTATATCTATTGGAAAGATTGTATTCGTGTGCATATTAATTCTGTTAATAGAAAGATATATAAAGTTATCGAGGATGATCCTATACAAATAACCATGACCAATGAGGATAATGTCACCATACTCAAATCGGAAGCACTATGGGATGAGGAAGACGAGAAAAAATATAGCTATGATTGAAAAGGTAGAAATATGTTTATTCCTTCTTTAGGTGTTGATGAGTATTTAGGGTTTCACATTGTGCTACTGCTAAGACAATGTGTGATGTTGTACAAATTGCCTATGAGGGGACAAATGATGTTAAAATTTCTAGAATAAATACATTGACTAAAGAGTTTGATCTCTTTCACATGAAGCATGGTGAAACCATTGCGGATATGTAAAAGAGATTTTCTCATATAATCAATCGCTCACACACTCTTGTTCATGTTACTCTTAATGTTGTTGCTACTAACAAAATTTTGAGATGTCTTAATAGAGAATGACAACCTAAAGTTACAGTAATCAAGGAAGCCAACAATCTCGCTACACTTGACATAACAATATTGTCTTAGTAGAGGTATTCTTTTATGTAAAATCTATTGGTTGGGATTGATCATCCATTTTAGTAAAGGATGGTGGTTATTTTATTAGGGAGTTATGGTTTGCCAACCCATCTTTGTATCTTGGGTTGTAGCGGTTGGTTTGTTCTTTGTTTTGTGGCTCTATTTGTATTGGGTTGCTCCTTCTGCTTTAATACAAGTGTTTATCAAAAAATAAATAAATAAATTTTCATAAAAATAAATTTTGAGATAAAACTTTTAAAAAAATGTAATTTCGGTTATGTTTTGATTTTTAATAATGTATATTTATGTTCTAAGATGTTAAAATTAAATTATTTATTTTGAAAAAACGAATTTAAAAAAAGAAATTATAATATTTTAAAAATTAATTTTTATAAAAATTATTTGTAAAAATATAAAAAAATAATAATCTATTCTTTTACGATTAAAACAAACAAGCCCTAATTCTTAAGAGCATTAAACATGTAAGTGTTTTAGTGTTGACAATACAAGTTACAATTCTTATACAAATATAAAAAATATAAATATCATGAAAAATATATATATGAAAAGACTGTTTTGCAAATAATTTTTTAATGGCTAAATTTCTTTGACAAGGATATACTTGATAATGTATTTTACAAACAATTTATAGAGATGTGAAATATCTATTGGGAAGATTAATAATACATAACCGCAAAACAATCACGTTTGTTCATCCCCCAACATTATTGTCTTTGAAATTTATTACACTTAAAACATGCATGCATGGTTGATATAATCAGTTACCATTGCTGGAAACCTCTCCACTAACGTAACCACCGCCCCCACCGCCTCCTCCACCACGACCACCATAGCCTCCTCCACCACCACCGCCACCACCGCCACCTCCATGTCCGTAACCACCACCATGGTAACCACCATTGCCACCATTGTAACCACCGCCGCCATGGTATCCACCATTGCCACCATTATAACCACCACTGCCGCCATGGTAACCACCATTGCCACCATTGTAACCACCGCCGCCATGGTATCCACCATTGCCACCATTATAACCACCACTGCCGCCATGGTAGCCACCGTGATCTCCGTGGTAACCACCGTATCCTCCATGGTAACCACCATAGCCTCCGCCATAGCCTCCACCATAGCCTCCGTAAACAAATTGTTTGGCATCATTTACTTCATCTGAGTTTTCAACAACCTCTGCAAATACAACAATTCTTAAACTATTTGATTATATATGTAAGAAAAAATAAAATAAAAACTAATGTATAGCTAGCTCACCCTCTTTGTTGGCATTAGTGGAAGTCTCAGTTAATGCCCTAGCTGATACCTGTGAAGAAATTAGAAGAAATATGGCTAATAGGCCAAGGATGAGGAATGATTTTTTAGAATCCATTGTACTCAAATGTATTATTTGGTAGTGAAAGATGAAAAAAATAGTAAGAAAGTGTGGTCTTTATATAATGGAAAGAAGGAGGAATGAATAAGGAATCATTACTTGGTAGTTGGGATGGAGCTAATCTGTGTTAATTAAATCTTGATTGATTTTAAGTAGTAACGGTTGGAGAATATGAAATGAAGCACTGCAGTTGTTATGTATGTTATGTCTACATGCAATTTGAGGAAAATTATAGTTTAGATATCAGAATACTTCTAGTCAACCTTAGCTATTTAGACATTTATATTCCTAAATGTGTATGTTATTTAGTTTTTCTCAAATATGTTTTCATTTGTTATTTTAATTATAAATTAAAATTAAAAAGAAAAGAAACACTTTATAAAATATTTGCAATTTTAACACATTGAAAAACTATGTAGTTTATGATTAATTATCGTATAAAAAAGCGCTGTCTATTCCTTTAAAAAGCGCTTTGTTATTTTTTAAGTTAGGCTTTAGACAGTTCTTTCCTTTAAAAGCGCTGTCTATTTCCCCACTTTAGACAGCGTTTATTTTTGAGTTTTTACAACGCTTTTCTTCTAAAGCGCTGTCTATTGTTCACAATTCTTTTTTAATAAAATATCTATTTTGACTTACAAAAGCGCTGTCCAATATATATAATGTATTTTAATAAGAATTTTAACCATATTTGAACCAGGTTTTCATCATATTTAGTAGCTTCATTCCAATAAAATATGCATATATAAAAATTACACATATATATAAATTGATGATATATACAACAATAACTACAAAATTTATGATACAAGTTAAAATTCTACAAGTTAAAAATCCTAAAATTCAAAATTGATGTTACATTTGTACATCTTTCTATCTTCGAGAATTCTCATAAAACAACAACAACATGAATATCTTAACTTTATCTTCTACACATGCACCTTTAAACCTGGAAAAAAATCAAATGACCGAAATTCATAACATGATAATATTAACGTTGCACTTTATTCGAATTTAATTTATACTCAAAACTCGAAAGTTCTCCTCAAAGGAAATAAGACAATATACCTTAGCTTATAAAATTCTCAACCCGATAATGAATTGACACCATTCCTCCATAAGTTCATCCAATTGTTCTTTTGAGTAATGTGCACAATTGAATTCCTCAAAGTACTACATATATAATAATATAACATAGTATGTGATTTAGTTAAAACAATATGTCATTTTATGAGAAACACAAAATATGAAAATAGTATGTAATTCCTAAGTTAGAAATTCATACAATGGATGGAATCTCTAATCGACCCAAAAGAATAGTTTCTTTCATAAACCTCAACATAAAATAGTCGCAATCTATACCGTTACGCTGGCGAGCACACTACACATGGAAAGAAAATACGAATATATATCAGGATATACCCCTTAAATTATTTTATCAAGTATCATCAGTAATGTAATCAAAACTGAATATCTCTTTGTGAAAATATACCTCCACTCTGATCCATGTAACGTTGTTGGCTCTACTTTTTGGCACTTGAATATCTGTTTAAGAGCGAAAAGCTAGTAGAACGCTATAATAAAATATAAACGACTGTTTAGAACAATCTCACATAGAAACATAAACATAAACACAAATCCAGATATGTTGACCATAAACATAAACATAAACATAAACATAAACTTGAATATCTCTTTGGGAGCGGAAAACTTACGTGTCAATCATCTGTTTCAAATCTGGATATGTTGACCAATCATTGTATACGAATCCAAATAATACATAGTTTCTCTCATAGGATTAATCACAACCAATAACCAGTGTCCACTGTAAGATTAAACAAAGATTAAACAATGGCAAAAAAATGGAAAATTATAACAGATCAAGTTAGGATGAAAAACATAATTGTCATTAAAAACAAATAACATCACATATGGTACCTGTATCTCACTCCATATTTTATCTTTAGCGTCGTCCAACACTCTTGCTCTCCAATCTTCACATGTAATTTGAATTTCTCTCCTTACCACTGAATCGAGATAACTCGTCAACGTTTAACCGTTAGGTTCAATTAGTTGGTCTTCTTGACTCCAATGCACATCATACTTTATGCCTTGGTCTTTATCCCGAATTATTCTCTTCATTATTATTATTCCTCGCTATATTCCATTTCCATTTTACTAACGACCTTATCTCCATCATGCACAGAATCATCACGTGGGTTATCGTCGTTAGTAGCCATCTAACTTGTAATAAACATAAATATAAACCCAATATAAAGATCCATAGTCATTTAAATATATATAAAATGACAATGCCAAAAATTAACATAAACATAAACTTAAACGTAAACATAAACATAAACATAAACATTTTAATATGCTACCTCTTTCACTAACATCTCTTTCTTTTCTTGGTAGAAACATGAATTACTTGTTTCTTAACAATGCGGACGAATGTATTTATCCAAATTCCCTCATTATGATCATTTCTGATATATGATTCATCCGCTATAATATTCTCATCTTGATCATTTATAATATACGACTCATTCCGTCTAATACATGACTCATTCTCATCATCAATATCACCTTAGTCTACACCGTTATCATCAACCACTTTGTTAGATAAAATCACTATAAACCATGTTGTACTCGCCAGGTCAGTGACATAGAACACTTGTTTAGATTGAGAGGCTAGAATAAAAGGCTCGTCTTTGTACCCCTCCCTATTAAGATCCACTTGCAAAAATCATGACTTACACATTCGTATGCCACCACTACTTACCCACTTGCAACCAAAGATAGGAATATGAAACTTCTCGTAATAAAACACCCAAATATGCTCGATAACCCCAAAATATGACAGATTTGTATATTTGGGGTTTAAGTCCTTCATACTTGAAATGTGCATTACTTCAGCAAGCACGGTGACACCACTATTTTGCATAGTACTTTTATCATCTTGTTCTTTGGTATAAAATGTGTATCCATTAATTGCATATGCGCTATAGGAAAACACATGCAAACTTGGAACATATGCCAAACATCTCAACCTTTCTGTTATTGAAGCGGAATCTGGATGAAGCTTTGAAAAAATATGATCCTTAAACCATGGTATAAAACTTTGATTGTGCTTCCGTACTATCCAATTTTAATTTCTTTTCTGATTTAACCCTCAGAGTACATCCTTGTGTATTTCAACATATGGCTCAACCTCACTGTCATTGTGCATAACATACAGATGCACTTGATCCCGTTCATCTTTTGATACTATCACAATTTTATTTCCAATTAATCTTTTACCTTCCTTTATTTCAAAAATATGACTTTTGGGGAGTCCAATGGTATGTGAGATACTTTGAAGACCATGCGGGTTCATTCCATCAGTAGATAAAGCCAAGTGAAGGTTTCTTGCTTCTTCTCTAAAATCAGGATAATCATTATCAATTTTCGACCACTGTGGTGAATCTGCCGGATGTCGATACTTTCCATCAATAATTCTTTCATCTGCATGCCAAGTAAGGTGTCTTGCATCAGTTTCACTATGAAACATGCGCCTAAATCTCATAATTATAGGAAAATACCATAAGACTTTTGCTGGAGACAATTTTTTCTTATATCGAGACAAACCGCATTTAGGGAACTCATTTAACGATGCATATTCGTTTCAAAACAAAACACAATCGTTTGGACAAGCATGTATCTTATCATAGCTCATGCCAATATAGCACAATATTTTTTTGGCCTCATAGGTTTGATTAGGAAGAACATTATCCTCCAGAAGCATATCTTTCATAAGAGCTAATAACTCTGTGAAACTTTTATCTGACCATCCATTGCCCGCCTTTAAGTTGTGCAACTTTAATACCGCAAACAGTCTTATGAATTTAGTGCAACCTTTATATAACGGTTTCTCTGAATCGCTTACCAATCTCTCAAACATTTTGGGACAATCATGAAGATCTTCTTCAAGTGCATCTGCAATCTCTTCGACTCAATCAAAATCATATGTATCTGTGTCATTGTCGTCTGAAGCATAGGCCGTACTACTTTTCTCCCCCGGTTCAACTTTGTCGTTACTTTTTTCACCGTGAAATATCCAACACGTATAACTTCTATCAATTCCATGCATTAGTAAATGCGATTTCAATCCATCTGCGTTAACCCGACCCACATAACAACAACCCAAGAAAGGACACTTCATTCGACTGGGATCTTTGGCGTGTTCAACAGTAAACTTAACGAATTCCAATACCCCATTCTCGTACTCTTGTGAAAATCGATCGGCAAACATCCATTTTTTATCCATTTTTTTCTACTTATTCAAGTAAACAAAAACACTATAAACGGATTATTCTCTTTTTGTTTGAATTAAACAAATTATTTCTAGAAATTTATTTCTAGAGTTAATAACATGGACTAAAAATAAACAAATCTATATAAAAATAATTGTGTTTTTTAATTGATCGATACAGATAGAATTTGAACTTGACTTACCAAAGAAAGAAAATGGGCTATTGGTGTCGACGACGGATGATGCGACTTTGATGTTCTTTGAATCGGTGATGATCTTCGACTAACTACACCAATAAAAGGGATCATCAAAAACAAGTTGTATATATATAGGTTCAAAATACTAGTAAAAAAATACTAGTTCGTGGAGAATATAAACATGATAAAAAATTCAGAAACCAATTAAAATAAAATAAAAACCATCATATGTATCATCTTTTTTATTCCAAAATAAATAACCAAAAGAAAATGCAATAATGCTAAATGCTAAAAGTGTTGCTGTTACATATCAAGCACTACCAAGAACCCAAAAATCAAAATGCATACATATAACTCAGTTTAGACATCAATAGGAGGATAATGTCTTAGATGTTAGCATAGTACATTATCAATAGGAGGATAACTCAGTTTGGACATCAATGGAGATAAAGACAATTTCAAAAAAGAACCTACCTTGAGAACCGTCCGATGTGGGTGGAGGACAACCG